TGCAGTTCAGGGGCTGTGCTGGAGCAGGCTGCACGGCTGCTCCGCTTCCAGGTGGCTCCTGGGAAGTCCTTTGGAAAAGGTGCTTAAAAACCATGTGGTGTGTCCATCCCAAGTGACCCCAGGGCCACTGCAGGTTCAGTTCTTGGCTTGATTTTGCCAGCTGCTGGTGACAAGGGCAGTAAGTCAGCCTTCTCCTGGCCCTGTTTCAGCCCTTCCCGCTGATCTCCGCGTCCCGCTGGCTGCGGAAGCGGGGGGAGCTGCACCTGCTGCTCTCGGAGGAGGCGGGAATCTTCCGCCGCGGCGCCGGCCGGCTCTGCTACCTCTTCCTGTTCAACGACGTCCTCATCATCACCAAGAAGAAGAGGTAAGGCCGGGAGGAGGGACCTTCCTTTCCCTGGAAAACAACTAGAGGATTAAATCTCTGTTTCCGGAGCAGCACGCACCTGAGAAATGCGTGAGATTTCCCAGGTTTGACCTTTTTGAGGCATCCCTTGTCAGCCAGATGGGAAGTGCCTGGTCCCACTGCCCTTGGCTTTGCCTCTGTGCATGTGCCCAGAGCCATGTCCCACCCTGGGCATCAGCTCATGTCCCACCTGTGGCGGCTGCTCCGGCTGTGCCGCTGAGCCTCATCCACCGGGCTGGGAGCTGGGAGGGAGCTCAGACCCCACACGGCTCTGGCTCTGATCCCATCTGTGCCACAGCGAGGAGAACTACACGGTGATGAACTACGCCACGCTGGACCAGGTCACCGTGGAGAAGGTGGAGAGCCCGGATCCACCGTCCCCTGCTCCCGGGAAGGCTGGCGGGCACCTGCTCCGGGTGGTGCTGGAGAAGGACAGCGAGGGCCGGCGGGAGGAGATCCTGCTGTCAGCAGAGACACTGTGAGTGGAAAGCCTTCATCCTGATGGGAATGTCCCAGCTACTGCTGGCAGCAGGTACGCTGTCCCCAAGGCTTTCTCTGATATGGGCTTTCCCTCTGGTAGGAGTGACCGAGCCCGGTGGATTGCGGCGCTCATGCACCGAGAGAAGGAGAAGCCTGACACCACTCCCAAAGGAGGTACCACATACCTGGCTCTGCCAGGATTGCCTGTTACACTGGAGCCTTGCAGGCACAGGTGTCTGCCTTGTTCTCCGCTCCTGCTGGAAAAGGAGCTGATGGAGAGGAGAACTCCAGTACCATGCCTTGTTCCTCAGGAGTTGCCTCACATTAAGTTGTCAGCCACAATTAACCTTAAATAC